GAGTTTCACTCTTGTTGCCCAGGCTGGAGTGCAATGGTGTGATCTGCAATGGTGTGATCACTGCAACCTCTGCCTCCCGGGTTCAAGTGATTCTGCTGCCTCAGTCTCCCCAGGAGCTGGGATTACAGAGGTGCCCACCACCACGCCCGGCTAATTTTTTGTACTTTTAGTAGAGACGGGGTTTCATTATGTTGGCCAGGCTAGTCTCGAACTCCTGACCTCAAGTAATCTGCCGACCTCGGCCTCCCAAAATGTTGGAATTACAGGTGTGAGCCACCGTGCCCAGCCTCAAACTCATATTGGAAATTTAGAGAGATTGCCAAGACTCTAGAATTTTGCATGTTTTCGCAAATTGATTTCATTAGTTCAAATCTCATACCACTTTTTCTAATTGATGGTTCTTACAACTTGACAGGTGACTGAGTTCAATATGATCAGAATTGAACCATTTCAAAAAGCAACGCAAGTGGCAACTGCTAGAAACCAGACTAACTGAGTTTGATCCCCGTCTTCTGCTCCTTCCCTCTGATGGAATTCTCATTTTCCCTGGCCTCCCGCGTTGACATTCATCCAATGCCCATGCTGCTGGATCAGCCTTCCTGGAGCCATATCCAGCTTGGAAAGATGAAGGGTTTCCAACGTTTTTGGAGATGACAATGTGTTATCAAAATCAACAAATTAATAGATTTGCTTCCTTTGTGTATTTTTTGCGATGTTCTGTGAGATATCAAGTCACTTTCCTGGTAGTTTCTTATTCAGTATTTCACTGTACTGCTTTAATAAAAGATGGTCAGGCCTCAACCCTAACAGAGTCACTTTCAGATCTTGTTAATAAGTTGGGTTTATAATCTGATACAGGTTTTGAGATGGCCCTGAGAACTTAGGTTTTTCGTAGGCTCTCTGGGCAACTTTCATGGGGCAGAGGTTTAGAAAGCTGGGAACAATCTGCCAGGCATCGAGAAGCCACTAGATGGCAGGGCCATCCCTTGGAGCCCATTCTTCAATCTAGAAAGTGGTCAGAGAGGAAACCTGTGGAGTAGGGAAGAGTCCAAGTAGACATGTTAAATGCAAGTTAATAAGTGGATGGTGGGGCCGGGCATGGTGGCTCAGGCGTGTAATCCCAGCACTTTGGGAGGCAGAGGTGGGCGAATCACTGGGGACAGGAGATTGAGACCATCCTGGTTAATGCGGTGAAAACTCATCTCTACCAAAAATACAAAAATTAGCCGGGCATGGTGGCGGATGCCTGTAGTCCCAGCTACTCAGGAGGCTGAGGCAGGAGAATGGTGTGAACCCAGGAGGTAGAGCTTACAGTGGGTTGAGATTGCACCACTGCACTCCAGCCTGGGCGACAGAGCAAGACCCCATCTCAAAAAAAAAAAAAAAAAGTAGATGGTGAAGATGAGCTTAGGCGTTGCATCCTAGTGGGAGAGTGGGAAGGATTCCTGTCACTTCTCACCTTTTTCTAGCTTTACCGCCAGTATTTGAAACGCGTGGAGGGTCCTTAACTGAAACTCTGCAGCAGTCAACTGTGCTGTACTACAGCACAACCACTTTAAAAAGGTGAAAGTAGGAAAACTAGCTCAATGAGAGGGCTAATATTTTTATAGGGCAAATGATTTGAGTTGGTAGACATATATGCCCTCCTACATGATATAGGAGATAGAGTGCAAAAACCAAACCAAGTGTTTTTTCCTACCCTCACTCACCACACGCTACTCCTCACTCCTCACATGCCAACCAAGCAAGCAATTTTTCTGCAGATTCTGCAGTGCACACCAGCTGGGTGTCCTCTAATTCAACTCAATTCTGACACTAGCCATCTGGAGATACTGTCAGGTCCCACAAGACTGTCCCCCACTTCAGAGCCAGTTATAAGACTGAACTGCCAGAACTTCTGATCTACCGGCTACACATTGGGGCTCCCAAGACTCTCCCCAGGGGTTCGATTAATTTGTTACAGTGGCTCACAGAGCTCAGGGCAACACTTTACTTACATTTACTGGTTTATTAGTTAGATGTATAATAAAGAATACAGGTGAACAGCCAGATGATAAGATACTCAGGGAGCTATCTGGAATGGTCCCAGCACTGGAGCTCCTGTCCCTGTGGAGTTGGGGTGCACACACTCCCTGCATGTGGATGTATTTGCAAACCTGGAACTTCTCTGAACCCAGTCATTTTGGTTTTGTAGAAGCTTTAATTTGTAGGCATGATTGATTTCATTACTGGCCATTGGTGATCAACTCGATTTTCAGCCCCTCCTCCCTCTCTGCATGGGGTGGAGCTGAAAATCCTAACCTTCTAATCCAGCCTTGGTTTTTACTGTGACCCGCTGCCATCCTGAAGCTATCCAGGGGCCCTCAGCTACCAGTCACCTCATTAACATATAAAGGTGTATATGCTAATTACATAGCATATATTATTATGTTATATAATTCTAATAATATATAATTACATCTATAATTACATGCTATATTATGTATGCTATCTAATAATATAATTAGCATACAATCCTTTATATGCTAATATGTAATTTTGCTATATAATTAGCATATACACTGCAAACACTCCTTAGATTCCACGGATTTCAGGAGTTTTATGCCAGGAAAAGATAAGGAAGACCAAATGTATATTTCACAAAAATCACACCTCCTAAGTGTATGACACTTCCTAAGAAATTAGCAGGTATTACAAATCAGATACAAAACAGATATAACCATCCCCTGAGGTTTTTTTTTGACATGTGCATTTCCTCCTAAAACCAGGAAATGGCATAATGGAGATGAGAATTCAGATCTCTTGCTTTTCTCTTTAGTGGTCACTGAGGTCACTAAGTGTCTCAATGTGCTGCTAACATTCTGATAAAGACAGATGGGTAAGACCAAAGCTGTATTTCTTTTTAAGCCACTTGAATTATTTTTGGTGTCTGAATTTTTCAAAATTCCAACCTAAGTTGTGCTGCCTTCAAAACAGTCTTATTATTGGAATTATCACTGTGAATGAACATTATACTCTAATAGTGTAATATTATATGAGATAATACTGTTTAGTCCTTAAGATTGGTTGGAAAACAGTGATTGGGGGGCATTTAAATCTACTTTAAAAGTGATTAAAGTAACAATTAATGCTACACTTTTTTTAAAATAAGGAGAGTATATTTTCATTGTAAGTATCTATTAATGATTGAAGTGTTCAGAGGAACTCCTGAATTCATCATCTGTATTTAGATGAAGCAAAGACTAAATTTCCTTAACAGTTACTCAGTTGATTACCCTTGCTGGTGACTTGAGGAAAGAGTGGATAAAAACTGCCACTGCCAGCCGGGCGCGGTGGCTCCCTCCTGTAATCCCAGCACTTTAGGAGGCTGAGGTGGGCGGATCATAAGGTCAGGAGTTCGAGACCAGCCTGGTCAGTATGGTGAAACCCTGTCTCTACTAAAAATACAAAAATTAGCTGGGCATGGTGGCACATGCCTGTAATCCCAGCTACTCGGGAGGTTGAGGCAGGAGAATTGCTTGAACCCGGGAGGCAGAGGTTGCAGTGAGCCGAGACTGTGCTATTGCAAACAAAACAAAACAAAAAAACTGCCACTGCCAATCTGGAGTTGGATGTTATCAAAACTGGTGATATCTGGGAGAGGGTAGAAGATGTTACCATCTACAAGTTTAGGATGCTGAAGAAGTGTCAAGAAAATGATCAGAGGCTTGCCACAGCCCAGAATTTATGTAAGTGCTTGAGAGACATCATCTCTCTTGAAGTCTAAGGTATGATGGAAGGTGAGCAGAAAATCAACTTAGTTATTTGTTTGGAATCAAGCTGTGTCTTTGGAAATAGTTATAGAACGTGTTGCTTGGTTATTTATAAGCTTGGGTTCAGGGAGTTAATGCAACTGCAAAAACAAGCAAGGGGCCGCTGTCCTCTTAGTAAGGATGGTGTGTGCAGCTGAGTCAGAGGAAGGGTTGGAAGCCCAGCCCCAGTGCTGCCCTAGCTTTGGGACTGTAAGCAAAGTCTCAACCTAACTTGAATCCTCTCTGTTCCCATCTGTGAAATGGGTGCAAACCCTCCTATGTCCTGGGCTGTGGTGAGAATGAAAGGAGACCATGCATGTCAAGATCCAGGCAGGTGGTCTGGCTCAGTAAGGGAATGGTCATGTCACCCTGGTACTTAATACAGGGCTGGTAGCATTGAGCCTTCTGGACCTTCTGTGGCACTGAAGCAGGGGTCATAGGGGCCACTGGGTGGCGCCAGCAATGTTCAACCGGCAAAGAGGGGAAGGGAGAAAGCAGAGCTCAGGGAGGGCTGGAGGAGGTCGTTCCTGGTCTTGATCCGGAAAACCACAGGGTTCTTTGTCTCGGTTTTCAACCACTTCTCTTTCTGTGTGTGTGTATGGATGTAGCACATTGTTATAATTGAGCTCAAATCAATTCAAGACTTTGATTATTATATGTTGTTACCACAACAAATATAGTGTTTTTTTCTAAGAATCCTCAGTAATTCAGAGAGAGGTTTTAACATTCGATTTAGATTTTTTATTCCTTGCCAGGCGCGGTGGCTCATGCCTATAATCCTAGCACTTTGGGAGGCTGAGGCAGGCAGACCACGAGGTCAGGAGATCAAGACCATCCTGGCCAACGTGGTAAAACCCCGTCTCTACTAAAAATACAAAAATTAGCTGGGCATGGTGGCGCGTGCCTCTGATCCCAGTTACTCAGGAGGCTGAGGCAGGAGAATCACTTGAACCAAGGAGTTGGAGGTTGCAGTGAGTCGATATCGCGCCACTACACTCCAAACTGACGATAGAGCCGGGCTCCATCTCCAAAAAAAAAAAAAGAAAAAAAAGTATGTAAACACCCCAGAAGGTTTATATCAGAAGTCAAAGCATTATGATCTGTCTGCATACTTTTCAGACATGGTGAGCGAGCATTCTGAACCCCCGGACCCACTTTGCCTGGTGGACCACTGAGGTTTTCTGCTCTCTAGTCTTGGGGTGCTGAAGCCCCAAGAGATTAGAAACAAATGCAATTCTCTCCCACCTAGCAATCTGGGATGCAAGCTGAAATGTGAGGTCCTCATCCTCTGGAGAAGTTCAGCTGGCCAAACACTACTTTTCTTGGACTTTCGTGGTGGAATCATTTACTTTTCGTGGGGAAGAATGCTACTCAGAGATAGCTTTCACAGAACCAAGGGAATAATCTTTTCTTGAAAAAGACTTGCCTCAGGAAATAATGGGTCTCATTGGCTATTGTTAATTGGTGAAATAGTTTTTTTGGTCTGTGTAGATATTGTCAGTACCTCAGTATCATGAGTGTGGTGGGTGATTAATATTCTGGATATATTTTACATTATTTGATCCATAAATTCATAAATCATGGATGATGGGAAGAAAAGGAAATCTGCTTTTTGACACTGTTCTTCTTTGTATTATTTACTTACAAGTCCTGTTTTAAAGCATCCTATTGCTTGGTTGTCATTCCTTTGGCTCTTTGGCAACAGTTGGTTTTGATCCCAGCTCTCTGGCTCCTGGGCCCAGGCTGAGTGAGTGCCAGCCAGGGTAAACTAGTTCACCAGGTGTTCACACAGGTTCAGGACAACCTGCATTGTCCCCACAGCCCTTTCGCCACAGGAATAATTATGGTTTTCTTTCTTCCAAGGATGGGAAGGTGTGTTTTTATTTAAAACCAGGCAGATTCCTATTACTTCCTCATCTGTGCGTTTCTCTTGACCAGGGATTTTTCTGCACATGATGGCTCTCGTTTGGTCCTTTTGCTGTATTCCTTTAGGGGAAAAGTTTCCTCGCTGCTTTTTCATGAGAAAGCACGCTTCATGCTGTTCTCTAAAGAGAACACAGCAGTTGCTGAATTTTTAATGTGTTCCCATGAGAATGGTGGTTTCCATCAGTCAACCTAGCCCACTGCCCATTTTCTGGAAGTCCTTCTTGGGGTGAACCAGCACATGGCTTGCTGAAGAGCTTGATCCCAGGGATTCACTGCTAGAATCATGTGTTTTTAGGTGACAGGTGTTCTCAGCCTCTCTGCCTACATGCCAGGGTTTGAGAGGTCCTGATAATGGCTCTGCAGCCACTGATGCTAACACGGAGGCCCTGGGGTTGAATTCCAGGCTCTGAGTTTTGAGATTTCTACTGCTTCTTAACTGAGACCTCCATTTCCACCCTGGAGCCCACCGTAGATTTAGACCTAATTTGTTCCAATCCTGATGTAAGTCTTCAGTTAGGAAGTCTAGAGTTAGTCAGCCACCTTTATTCTTTGCAATCCCATTCTTGCTGTTTGCTCTAACCTCTAGCACAAGTTTCCTTTTCAGAAAGGAAGACGCTCTATGCATTCATAGCAGTGTTTTCTTTTTGAGCAAGCCTGGGAATCAACAGGTGGTTCTGTTGTAAAAACAACTGCAGAGAGGGGCTTAGAGAATTCAGCAAGTTTTCATTTTTCCTTACCCATGAAAACGTTTTCTGAAAGGAAATCTTACCTGAAAATATTCAAAAGTGGAGCTGCTGTGGTGGGGCCATTGAAGGGAAAGGGATTTCAAGGGCTTACCGAGGAGCCCTGCAGGGCCTCTGACTTGTTCGTGGCAGGGCAGCTTGGAAACCAGATCAGGTCATTATTTGAATTTCTTGAAGCTGTGGTGCAGGAGTGTGTTTCTAAGACATCTGCAACCTAATGGGAAGTAAAACACTTTCCCGTTCATAGGTGTGGTATATTTATTGGCACATTGTTTCTGAAGCATAGGCATATACTCAGACCATAGGTATTTAAATTATGTTAACTAAATCAAAAGGTTTATGAATTCAGATTTTTCTCCATTATGAACATGTATAATTATTTTAAACTAAGTAAGCATATGCATTTTCAATTTTTGACTCTGTTTTCGTAATTGTGAATAAGTTTCTTTCAAAGACTAGAGACTTCTCTTTTTAATTTTATTTTTATTTATTTATTTATTTATTCTGAGGTGAAGTCTTGCTCTGTCACCCAGGCTGGAGTGCAGTGGCACGATCTCAGCTCACTGCAACCTCTGCCTCCCGGGTTCAAGCAATTCTCTGCCTCAGCCTCCTGAGTAGCTGGGACTACAGGTGCACACCACCACACCCGGCTAATTTTTGTATTTTTAGTAGAGACAGTGTTTCACCATGTTGGCCAGGCTGGTCTCAAACTTGTGACCTCAGGTGATCTGCCCACCTCGGCCTCCCAAAGTGCTGGGATTTCAGGCGTGAGCCACTGCACCCGGTTGAGACTTCTTTATTTCTATCTAGATTAGGAAAAGACATGAGAATCATGGGGGCTCATGAAGATTCCCTTTGTCTCTGTATCATTTTTAAGTTCCTGGGGCTGGGAACACAAATACGTGGGTAATACTACATTGCCTAAATCTGAAGTTCTCACAGTTGAGCAAGAGGGAGAAGGGAGATACATAAATAATTGGGATGATAATTATATGGTTATGGGGAAAGCGTTCCCTTGACTTACAGTGACTTTAACATGAGCGTAGCTGCTGGCACAGGCTGAGACCCCACCACTTAAGATGTTAATGATGTGAGCTGACATAATCTTATTGTTTATTATTTTTATTTTTTGTAGAGATGGGGATTTTGCCATGTTGCCCAGGCTGATCTTGAACTCTTGGGCTCAAGCAATCCTCTGTCTCGGCCTTCCAAAGTGCTGGGTTTACAGGCATGAGCCACTGCACCCGACCAACTTAAATAATCTTCTTCACTTTCCACATCCATAAAAAGAGTTATTAGGATGATTATGTTTATTTGTGGTAAACTCTTAGGAACATGCCTGGCATTTAGGAAGCACAATTGAGCAGTTGCTACTACTTTTTTTTTTTTTTGTCTAAAACAGAGTCCATGAATATACTGTTTTTGATATTACATAGATTTAATTCATACTCATATTTTAATGTAAAATTGAAAGATCCATAAGTAAAACTAAAGTTTTTGTGCTTTTTCTCACCACATACATTTCACAACGTTTATACACATCCTACTTCACTTTTTAAAATAAAATATTTCAAGTACATGAATTCAATTTTTGGAAAATGAAGCCAGATTTTTTTTCTTACTTATCATATTGTAATGCAATTTGCTTTAAACTAGGAAGCCGAATTATGCTTCCAGAACCAAAACTGTTTTTTAATTTTTTGTTTTTATTTTTAGATGGAATCTCGCTCTGTCACCAGACTGGAGTGCAGTGGTACGATATCGGCCCACTGCAACCTCCACCTCCTGAGTTCAAGCAATTCTCCTGCCTCAGCTTCCTGAGTAGCTGGGACTACAGGCACACACCACCATGCCCAACTAATTTTTGTACTTTTAGTAAAGACAGGGTTTCACCATGTTGGCCAGGATAGTCTTGATCTCTTGACCTCGTGATCTGCCGGCTTTGGCCTCCCAGAGTGCTGGGATTACAGGTGTGAGCCACCGCGCCTGGCCCAAGATGTTTAGTCCTCAAATAAGGATAATAACCGAATGGCCCAGTGTGACACAGGGAAGAGGACTTATGATGGCTGTGGGTGCTGGTCCCCAACAAAGCTACTGTTCTTTTCTTTTTGTCTGTAGTTTCTTATCCTCCTTTGGGTGTCTAAGGGTCTTTTACATCTCTTGAGTTTTTCAATACTCACCTTTGGATGTCTGGCCAGACCATGTCCTAGAACTGTTCTGTCTCCTCAAAGTCCTGGACCTTCAATGGGGCAGCTGACAACTCAGTATGTTTCATGTTAATTCTCTGATGTGGCCATTCTGAGGTGTCAGATACACTTTCAAGGTTTAGTTTCTTTTGAATAAAGTAATTTGCTAATCAAACGAATCTCCAATTGACTGGGGAGTATTTTTTTTTTGAGGGGGAGTTCCTTGGTTTTGCTCCTGGCTGGGCTTAGTGGCTCACGCTGTAATCCCAGCGCTTTGGGAGGCTGAGGTGGGTGGATCACCTGAGGCCAGGAGTTTGAGACCAGCTTAGCCAACATGGTGAAACCCCGTCTCTAAAAATACAAAAATTATCTAGGCATGTGGTGGGTGCCTGTCATCCCAGCTACTCAAGAGGTGGAGGCAGGAGAATCGCTTGAACCTGGGGGATGGAGGTTGCAGTGAGCCGAGATCACGCCACTGCACTCTAGCCTGGGGTAACAAGTGAAACTTGGTCTCAAAAAAAAAAAAAAGTTACTGTGCTCTCCACCCTTTGTTCTTGGAAGGCAGAGACCCTACCTTTTGCCCTCATACTTCTCACCAGGCAACTGCTTGTCCTGACCACACTTAATACGCTGAGTGCCATGGGGGCACAGTGTATCAGCGGGTTTTCTGATGTCTTGTGAGAGCTTTAACAAATTTATGTTGAGTAATAACTAGGTGCTGGCACTGTGTTGTGTCATTTAATCTTCACAATAACACAGTTAATTAGGTCCCACAGTTTTCTGAATTTCATCAATGAGGAAATAGCAGCAAAGAGGAGGTAACCAATTTGGTACAGGTGCCTAGCCCGAAGACTAATAATACATTTCAAAATGTGCTTACATTTATTGCGCACTTACTATGTGCCAGGTGCAACGCTAGCCCTTTGCACGTGTTGTTCCATTTTACCCTTTCTCTGATCCTTTGAGGTAGGTCCTAGTATTACCTTCCTTTTTCAGAAGAGGAAACCAGTGGGGAGCATTGGGATGATTTGGTTGCAAGCGTATTACACAACTTGTAAATTGCAGACACAGGCTTAAAAAAAAGTGAAAAACTAACCACGTAATAAAGACTGGAATGAATCGTGAAGCTGTTACTGCGTCCCATCATGTTTTTGAAGCATATCCCATGTTAATTTCTAGAACAGAAGAAACACACGTGTTCTTGTGTATAAACCCAGTTCATAGAAGAGACAGTCCGCTTGTCCCTCCTGATTTCTGGGCCCAGACAACCAGTAGTCACCATTCCAAGTAACAGGTGGCCGCAACTCTACAGCCCGTTCGTCTCTTCTCACTGTCAAAGCTGCTGAGACCCCAGACTCGACACTTGAAAGAAACCCACGTCTGTGAAGCACTTGTGGACCATTCAAGAGAAGGAGATAGGTGATGGGATCTAGCTTCTGATGGTTTCTATTTTATTAAATGTCTAATAGGGCAAGAATCTGAAAAACGAGAAATTTGTCATGCAGGAGGACCTGGGAAGGAGATAAAACATTTACAGGGGTAAAGATTGGGATTCAGTTGGGAGGAGTAACTGAGGAAATGGGTCACTCAAAATATTTTATGTTTTAGGTCCTTTATCTATTAAGGAAGAATGGATTGTCAAAGCCTTAACATTGCATTGTATTGTGTCAGGTGAATTGCTATGGTTTGAATGTGGTTTGCCCTCTCCCAAACTCACGTTGAATTTTTTTCTTTTTCTTTTTTTGAGATGGAGTCTCGCTCTGTTGCCCAGGCTGGAGTGCAGTGGCGCAGTCTCGGCTAACTGCAAGCTCCTCCTCTCCCAGGTTCAAGAGATTCTCCTGCCTCAGCCTCTCGAGTAGCTGGGATTACAGATGTTCATCACCACACCTGGCTAATTTTTGTATTTTTAATAGAGATGGGGTTTCACTATGTTGGCTAGGCTACTCTCAAACTCCCGACCTCAGGTGATCCATCTGCCTCGGCCTCCCAAAGTACTGGGATTTGAGGCATGATTCACTGTGACTAGCCTCACATTGAAATTTAATTGCCATTGTAACAGAATAAAGATGTGAGACCTTTACGAGGTGATTAGGCAATGAGGACTCTGCCCTTATGAATGGATTAATGCTGTCATCATGGGAGTGGTTATAAAAGGACACGTTCAGCACCCCTTTGCTCTCTCTCTCACCTTCCGCCATATGATGACATGGCACAAAGGCCATTGATGCTGGCCTGTTGTTCTTGGACTTTCCAACCTCCAGAGCAGTAAAAAAATAAATCTGTGTTCTTTACAAATGGCCCAGTCTCAGATATTCTGTTACAGCAGTACAAAGTGGACTAAGTCATGAAGCCTAAAGATTTACATGGTTTACAGTGGTGGTCCCCAACCTTTTTGGCAGCAGGGGCTGGTTTTGTGGAAGACAGTTTTTCCACAGACCCAGGGGGCAGGGGGCAAGGATAGTTTCGGGACAAAACTGTTCCACCTCGGATTATTAGGCATTACTTAGATTCTTATAAGGAGCACACAGCCTAGATCCCTTGCATGTACAGTTCACAATAGGGTTCACGCCCCTGTGAGAATCTAATGCTGCCACTGATCTGAGAGGAGGCAGAGTTCAGGCGGTAATGCTTGCTCACCTGCCACTCACCTCCTGCTGTGGGGCCCACTTCCCAGTATCAGTCCATGGCCTGGGGATTGGGGACCCCTGGTTTAGAGAATTGAAAAGATGGAATTTAACATTTAGCTCATCAAGAGCACATCTCTTAAGCCAAAGTAAGGCAATCATCCATGTGGTTCAGGTAAAAGTTCTATACAATTTTAGACAAATGGAGAGATTTTCTGGTTGTAAATTAGGGACAACTTTTCTCTCAGAGCCCAAAGGGTCACAAAAATTAGAATAATTAGGCTAGAAGGCCTCTTAGTGACATTTTTTTCTGGTTGAAGAATATTATGATGTATTTGTCTAATGCACAGCACACTTTTAGACTCATGTTGAACAAAAATAATAAACCCTCAAAAACCATGACTCACTTGGCTGCCTTAGTAGTAAAGCATATCTTGTCTTACTAGGATCCCTTTAAAATGAGATGAAAGGAACTAGGAAAGGAATAAGAAGAATATTGTGGCATTCTTTCCAGAGTAATTTTGTTGAAGTCTCATCAGAGTTTTCAGTTTTCCCACAATGTGTATTTTAACACTTAAAAGTACATTAGAAAAATAGGAGAATCACTTTAATTCAATAATTTTATTTTTAGAACACTTAAAAAATATTTTTCAAATCTACTTGATAAATAATTTAATAAATATAACATAAATAAATATAAGTTAGTTCAGATGCTTTCATGATCACAAAGTTATATAAATAAATAATTTAAAATAAATTATGCTTACATGTTTGTTTCTACAAACACTTTGGTACAGAAATAGCTTATAAATTCTTGCCCTTCTATTAAAGTGAATGTAAAACGCCTTCAGGATGGACATTTTCCCTTCTTGGCAATTCATTCATGAAAACTGAAAAGCAATTTATCCACAGTAAATGTCAAAAATACTTGATCAGAGGTATCATGTGGATGTAATAGTCCCATCTTTCTTTCCCCCTCCCTAGTTCTTAATCCACATCCTATCAAAATTTCTTCATTTCAAATTTTTATAAAAATGACAACGGTTTGGAGAGACCTTGCTTTTTAGGAAGCATTCAGATAGCTCATCACTCTATCAATAGTCACTGCCCGAATTCTGAAAGCATGAAGAAGTATGCAGAGCTTGATTTTAGTTTTATAAAAATCCGGTTCTTCAAGGGAGGATTTTTGTGGCACAGTCTCACTGTTGAAATTCAGGGCCTAGGAGAATGAACAGTAAGCATGACTTACATCGTATTCCAAAATTCAAATATTCATTCATAAAAATGAGTGAAGCCAGTACATGTCTCAGAGCCTGCAACTCAGTCCCTTATGCCACTCCTAACCCAACCCACATCTACTCTCAGCCAGATTACCAGGCAGAACCTGAGAAAAGAAATACTTATTTTCCAAGCACAGCCATCTTCAATGAGCTCAGAAAAGACCCTTGAAACTATTTAGAAAGAAAACATCAGTGGGAGTTGTGTCTTAGAAACAAACAGTTCCTTTAAAATGACATCTGCTGCAATATCTAATTAATTTTGTATATGTTACATTAAAAAGCCCACTTCTGTTTAGCACAGGGAGGTGATGGATTGCTATCGATCAGAACTCGCTATCAGTAACAGGCCTGTTTACTGAAGACATGCCATTTGTGTCAGATAAACCTGGCAATGAATTTCCCAAGTTTAGCACTTGGATTTGATAACACAATATAATTTGCACCCTTGATGAATAAATACTTTCATATCTTCCTCACAAAAAGTCTAAAAGAAAGCTAGAATAAAGTCACCCCATTTTATACCAGAGGAAACTGAGGCACAGAGGGGTTAAGTGGCTTGGGAATAGTTGTCTGGTTACTGGTAGAATTGATTCTAGCACCCAAATCACCCACCTCTTGGTCCTAAAAACAAAACAGCAACTACAGCTCTCTAGATGGTAACGTTTTTTGATACTTGGATAACGCTCATTGCCTTTCAAACAAGTAATCTGGCACATGCACGCGCGTACACACACACACACACACACACACACGAAAAGAATAAAAGTAAATCAATTACTTTTCAGACAATGATTTCTGCCACCATATTTTTATCCTGTGTCCTAGTCACCAAAGCAATCACCCTCGCTTATATAAATATTTGTTTTATATTAGCAGCTGTGTTATGGTGATTCGGAACATTACAAAGCAAGTTCTTGCCTATGAATAACATTATAGATGCCCCAGATGATAGGTCATTCTTTTATTTGGTTCACATTTTGGTTCACAATGGGTCATAATCAGGCACCAATCTTGCTTGTTTTCCCAGCAATATTTGCAGATACGCAAGCTGGCCCCTTGTATGCACATCCGGGAGCACATCCTGGAGCCTTTAGAGGTGAGTGAGAAGGTAAGTGTAGTGAAATCCTCTTGAAGGATTTTAAGAGGCAGAGCCTCAGACAAGTGGTTTAACTCTCCTAAGGTTTGGTTCCCTCCTTTGTGCAGATCCCATATGGTTGTTTTGAGGCTGACATAAGAAAATGCACAAAAACATTTGCAGAGTGTGGGGGATACCACAGAGTGAATACTTTGGAGTCTGCTTTTCATAATGTCATCTGCTCACATTTGTGCTCCCTATAGGGGGCACCCTCAAGGCTGTCTCCTTGAAAATGTAGGTCTGTCAGGCCTTTAAAAGGCCTCCACCAATCCAGGAAGAGCTGATTTTATACCTCTTTATTGAGGACCCTGGCTAGGTATCTTTAGCATGAAAAAGGTGCTCTCACTGATAGAATGAAGTCTTACCTGCATCAGCTCATCAATAACTCCCAGTATGTTTTGATCTAGAAAGATCTGCCTCTTAGGATCCATCAGAAGCTTTGCATTCATGGTCTTGAACTCCACCTGGTATATCTTCAAGTCTTCATAAATACTCCTAAGGCACAGGGCCTGGGTGACATAACAAGATGGGGAAGTATCCTTTGAGATAGGCTAAAAACATTTCTCCCATTGCATTTGAGGAAAGAGCTGTGTGTCTTACCATCATAAAAGAGGTCTTTCTGGAGGCCAGGCAACTCCCATTCTAGAAGAAAAAATAAACAGACATCAGCGATATGAATTCATCATACAGGCTGAAACTTTTCATTTTTTGACTTACAGTTATGACAGAAGTCTCTCTGGAATTTAGGCAACTCTCATTCTAGAGGGAAAAATATCATATATCAAAGTATTAAATCTTAGTATAAATCTTTCTGACTTTTCAGGTCAAACTTTTTTTATTATGGTAAAAACACATATCATAATATTTACCATGTTAACTATTTTTAAGTGTTAAGTATATTCATATTATTGCAAAAAAACCATTTATTTTTATAGTTTTTCTCCCAAATCTAACTTCTGAAGTAGGACCAGTTAAAGTCCCATAATGATGGATACCAGAAACGTGAATTTTTAGAAGCAGGTGAGATTTGATGCACAGCTTTTAACCACACTGCAAGCTTTGGGAGGAAAATCCTCTATACCTTGATTAATTCCAATGGTAAACAGGCCTCTACTGTGCTGGTTTTATCTTTTGTGATATCTTCATGATCAATCTCTTCAGAAGTGCAAGGGTAAAATTCTAGAATTTGTCTGGCCTATGAAAAATGAAAGAGAAACTCAGTTTATAACATTGATAAGGCACCTGGCACCCCACAAGGCTGGTACGCCAGGGTGCCAGGCAGGCTCTGGCTGGCTGCCCTTGACCTCTGTTGCTTTGACCTGCAGGAAATTCTGGTTCTTCATAACACAAAAGGAAACAGATTCCTTACATTCTGTCTCTCACTCTCCTCTCCCTATGCTTGGGGCATGTTTCTCTGGATGACATATTTTTTCATTATGTAAACACAATAAATCATGTCATCAACCTGTGCTAACCAGCCTCCACACCTCACTGTGACACTTGCTTCTGGTGAAAACTGTTTCTTCTTTTGCTAAAGTGACTGTATTCTATGAATACCTATTTCAAGTATAACTTCTAAAGGGGGAACTATTAAGGTCACAGCTTGATGGGTATAACAAACATGCAAACCCTTAAGACAAGCGAGATTTAATTTGCAGTGCACACATGCACACACATACACAGAGATGTCATCTTAGTGTGTTGGAAAGCACCATTGGGTAAAATTATGAAATGTATCCTAGGAAGTAAAGGACTGTATGATTGAAGATTACGATCATTTCTCCATTCAACAGCCTGATGGGTGCCAGGAGCTCCATTAGGTACTAAGAACATGACAGAGAAGAGGACCATGTATACCCTCCTGGATTGCAAGTTTAGCTGCTGAGACAGACAAGTGCCCAGATGGACCAGGAGGCATCAGTAGGTGAGACATGGTGAAAAGGGCATGAAGCTTCTGAGGAGGGGCAGGAAGGGAAGTGAAGCTTCCTAGAGATGGGACACCTACATTAAGAGGAGTAAAATGTCATCAATGGAGGAGGGAAATTTCAGACAGAGGTAACAGCATGAGCCAAGAAGCAAGGCCTGAAAATTCAGAATATGTTTGGACACAAGTAGTAAAATCCCTTTCTGTGGTAGCTAGACCAATGCTCCGCCTCCAAAGACATCCACCTCCCAATCCCTGGAACCTGGTAATGTGCTATGTGACCTGCCAAAGAGGAATGAAGGTGTAGATGACATTCAATTTGCTAATCAGCTGATCTAAGAGTAGAGAGATGATCCTGGAGTATCTGGGTGAATCCAATGTAAGCAGTGTCCTCAAAAGTAGAAGCGGGTAGAAGGTCAGTCCAGAGGGAGCAGCATGAGAAAGACTCAACCAGACATTGCTGGTATGGACAACGGAAGGGGCCACAAGTCAAGGAATGTGGACAGCCTTTAGACCTGACAAAGCAAAGCAACACATGCTCCCCAAGAGCCTCCAGAAAGGGCTACAGCTCTGCTGACACATTGATTTTAGCCCAGTAGGACCCATTTTGGACTTCTGATGCCCAGAGCTGTAAGATAATAAACTTGTGTCATTTAAACCCACTATATTTGTGACAGCAGCAGGAGGACATGAATACACTATTCCTGGAGGTGTTTAAATAGACCTGGGCAATGCCACTATTCTGAGCAGGTTCTAAAGAGTTAGATTTGGAAGTGTGAGTCCAGTGTTGTTCTTCAGGTCTTTTCAAGAGAAGCTAGAAATTTGAAATCTCAATTGAAAGGTTCAGTTTTTGAATAGCATCAAACTAAAAAATAAACATATAGCCCAAACTCTACAAAACTGTGGGCTGGATATGGCCAGTGAATCACTTGCATCTACCTCCTTTGTTTCCTACTGCAGCAAATTTGACAAATGATGTACAAAACATTAAACTGATTTCTATAATCTTTTGACTGTATCTGGGAGTAGAGGCGTCAGCTTTTGCACAAAAAACACCCATATGAATTGGAGCACCTACAAGTTATCCATTTTGAACCTTTCTTCAGGAAACAAAGCAGTTCTCACTTGAGCCCCCTGTCTAATGAAGATTCATTGAATTGTGAGGAGCAATGCACAGCACATTATGAAAGACTGAAAGGGGAAAAGAGCCCTTTTGGAAGGCTTGGTGGCATTGAGCTTATTTTAAGATATTCATAAGGCAACAAGCTAGAAAATACGCAAGAAAAATTTCCTAGAGATCAAAAAGGCAGAGGACATCTTTTAAAACACTAGCCTTTAGCCTTTGCAGCAATAGCTACTGGAGCAGTTTTTAATGGCAATGGTTTTTACATTAAAATATGAAACCTAAAAGAACGAAGCTGTAAATAAAATTAGGTAACTCTTCCCTAGAAAATGAAGGCCGCATGTGCACTGTCATAGTCCTCCCTGAGAAGTGTTGCTCTGAGAAGGAACTGTGTCACCAAGTAGAAGCTGGTGGGCAGCAGGAGGGACAAGGCTATTTCATCTTTGTACCCCTGCCCCCCAACACAGAGTATGCACTCAAGTAACTATTTCCGGGTTTGATCAGTGATGCAGAGAAACCATGTGGACCTGACACAATTCTATCTCTGTTGGCAGGCTACAGGAACACTGCAAATATCCACTTTACTCTGTGTAGACATAGCCAAAACCAACATCATTATAATTTATTATTACTCTTGCTTTCTCTGGAGACACAATTTCACTAGGACTCTTTAACACTTGGGCCATTTGTAAAGTTCCCTCTCCTGCTGTTGACAGCTACTAATGAACCTCCACAATTTCTCTGCAGTTCCATCAGGTACCAGAGGGTAGGATGAGAGGCCCCTTCCTCAGGGAGGGTACAGGTGCACAGCGGAGAAGACAGGAAGAGCTCACCTTCTGAAGCGTGTTGCTGGCGGCCTTCAGCAAGTTTTGGGAGTGGTGAAGGCACGGGAACATTTCTGGGCCTGGGGTGGCCACGGAGAGGTTTCTGGCCAAACTGAGGTAGTCCAGGAGGACTAAGGTGGCCACAAGGAGGAGGCCTGGAAGGGAAGTGAGGAGCAGGTGGAGGAACTTCAGCCTGGATGGCCTGCCTGCACCACCTTCCCTCCATTCTGGCCACCTTCACCCATCCATTTCTGCTTGGCACCCATCTCCCTCCACCCATTTCCAACACTTTTCCCTCAACACCTGAGAGATGACTCAAGTTATTACAAAGCGCCACTCTATTCTAGGACTAGAAGCCAGCTCCTTGTGAGGGTTTAGGGATGAGCTTGGACAAGGGTGTCGAACCCAAAAATCACCCAGAGAAAGCCTTCATGTTTTTGATGAGGGAAACCCAGACCAGGTGGTGAAGTGGCTGAGTCAGACTTGGGACCCAGTGTTTTAAAAACAGTGGAGTGAGAAAGCCTGACTTGTTTGTTTTTTTAAGACGGAGTCTCACTCTGTGGCCCAGGCTGGAGTGCAGTGACACAATCTAGGCTCACTGCAACCTCTGCTTCCGGGTTCAAGTCATTTTCCCGGCCTTAGACTCCCCAGTAGATGGGATTACAGGCACCCACCACCACACTCGGCTAATTTGTGTATTTTTTAGTAGAGACGGATCAGGCTGGTCTTGAACTCCTGACCTCGGGTGATCTGCCCGCCTTGGCCTCCCAAAGTGCTGGGATTACAGGCGTGAACCATTGCACCCTGCCAATCCTGACTTTACAACTAGCTAGGATCTGGATCTGCCTTCTGTTTGTAGCTGAGGGACCCTAGGCAGGAAGGCAGGAAATCTCCCACGCTGGGCCTCAGTTTCTCCTCTACGAAGTGGGCATAATGATAGTTCATCAGGTTGTTTCGAGATGAAAAGAGACATGCCCTATTTAGCGCATGGTGAGACCCCTATTCTTATTCCTCTTTGCAGGAGAGGGCTGCTGCTATTCCAGTCTCTCCTTAGGCAGACTTGAGTTTCCACCCCCTCTTCCCAAGCAGCCGCCCCTCCGCACTCGAGCAAACCAGAGCCCTGGCCAGCTGGGTACTCACTGCGCGCTGGACACATGCTGAGCCGGCACTGCAGGGACACTGGGCGAGCCGCTGGATGCAGACCTGTGGCCGTGGCAGGTGAGGGCGGTGGCTGCGAGGCTGACCCAGGGGGCCACATTTTTATAATTGTCTCGAGGCGCGGCAGGACTTTCCCGGGACACTGGTCTCTTGCTTTCTGTCTCTTTCTCTGTCTCTCTCTACATCAGCTTTTCGGTGACACGTGCGGTCCCGCCGGCCCGCGGGGCTTGCGGCGCTTTCGGATTAACTCCCGGGGTGCCCGGCCGCAGCCGTTCCGGGACGGCCCCACCGCCTCCAGCTCGGCCCAAAATGAAAGCGAAATGTTCGCAGTTACTTCGCGGGGTCCACAGGCGGGCGAGACACCCCGCCCACCACCCTGGGTCCCCGGCCTTAGCCGGACGCCCCTTGTCTCAGCCACCCCGCCCCGCAGCTGTGCAGCGCCCCCTGCCGTCGTAGGGAGAGGAGTGCCTCCCACTTTCCATGTCCTGCATAGGGATGGGTCCTAACCACAACCTCCAGCCTACTACTGGAAGGGGTAGGCAAATCATTCACTCATCATTGTTCCTTCAGATGGCTCACTAGATGCCAGGTCGACGTTGCACTAGGTGCAGGACACCCAGGGAGAACAGGACCCTCGGGGCATTGCCACACTAAATCAGACTCAATGCCTTTTGTTCACAGGTCTTTTCTGAAACCTGAAAAGGGATGAGAACTGACTGACTATGCAATTACTACTCTTGTAGAGAATCCAGTTTACCGATGGGATGAATGCACAGAGTCCTGGGAGGAAAGACCTAGAGAAAGAGCCCACGCTCAGCCGGAGCAACGGGGTCCAGGAGTCAGCAAAGACTCCCGGGAGCTGGGGCCCCAACCTGAGTGTTAAAAACAAGTAGGCATTAGACCGTGTCCAGCGGGAGGGCACGCAGGGTTTAGCCAGGGGAAACAGGGATCAGAAGCGCAGTCATGAAGGGTTGAGGGAGGTGGGGGTCTAGGTGTCCTTGCGGGTTGTGAGGCTGGAGAGCTGGATGGGGCCGTGCCATGAGGGCAGGGGATGCCATACTAAGGAGTGTACCTTCTGTGCTGGGAGTAGTGGGGAGTCTTCCTGGGTTTTAGGCAGGGAGATGTGGCAGAATTTGCATGATGGGAGGATCCCTTCAGCCACATCGTGACGGATGGATCCAGGGGTCAGGAGTGGAGCAGAGGGAAGAGTTGACAAGGTGTGGCCAAGTCCTTATTCAGTATGGAGAACACAGGGTGATCAGGAGGGACTCTCAGAGGGCTTGTGGGCCAAGGCTTGGTAGCTCCTCAGGTGAGAGGGACAGGAAGGCCCTGAGAATGGGGAATGGAGATTGTTCTCGCTTTACAGGGATTACTGTATAAGAGGACTGAGTTTGGAGGAGATGGTGAGAAGTTCCACTTTGGATGTGCTGGGTTTGAGGTTCCTGTGGGACTTTTTAGTTCAGTTGTTCTTCCCACAGGCATTAGTCACCCTAGGCGTGGGTAATGGGAGGATGTGTTTGGTCTCTGACTTGGAGCTTCCAAAGGGCCTGACTATGCCCAGGCCCCAGGGCCTAATAATTGGAGCTGCCTTCTGGTTGGCTCATCCGCTCTCAAAGCTGATGAAGCACCGCTGTGGGGAGTTTTAGGTGTGTGTAAGAGAGATGGTTGATCTCTAAGGCCCCTTCTAATGCTGCTGTCTGTGAATTCCCCCGGGGATACAGAGTAATCCATTGTCAGAAACAATTGCATTTAGCAGTGTGTGTGAAGCAAATGACAGGCGCAGAGCTGTGTTGTGGCTACAGGGGTTTAGTGTGGAGTTAAATGTACTTAAAGTCAGGATGAACACAAGTGTATCACAACCGAGCTGTTTCTCCGCTGGAAGGGACATCTCCTATATAAAAGTAATTTCCATTGCTTAGATGAGCACAGGGCTCATCTGTTAAAAATGGATTCTTGGCTACCGGACACAGTTTCTAACTTATATTTTTGTGAAACAGTTTCTTGATGCGCTCCATGTACTCTAGCTAAGATAAAATGAAAACCTTCTTCTAGGAATACATGATTTTTCTGTAAGCGACAGTCTTTGCTCACAGTCACCACTTTACAGTGTGTAGCATTGTCATGGAGGTCTTGGCCAACACTATAAGGAAAGAAAAGGAAATGAGAGATTTAAACTTGGAAAAGAAAAGGTAAAACTGTCACTTTTTACAGTTGATATACAAAAAGAAAAAATTAATAGACTATTAGAACTAAGAAGATAATTTAACAACATCGCACAATACACATACTAACTTTAAAATAATCAACCAATTTCTGCAACAATCCGTCAGCAAATATAATAAAAACAAGATGACATGCATAGAAGCAGCCAAACTATAAAGTAACTGACTGTAGATATAGAAGCAATACAATGGCTAAGAGTATAGACTAAACTATGTTAATCCAGGTTCTGCTACTTACTTGCTGTGTGTTCTTAGGCGAGTTATTTATCTCTCTGGGCTCAGTTTACTCATCTGTTAAATGATGATAATAAAAGTACCTACAGTATAGAGTTATTATGATTATTACATGAGCTGGGATAACTACAGAATAGTGTTTGGAGAAAAATTTTAAAGTTCAGTCAAGAATATAGTGTGATTTAATTAAATAATTCTATGCCCTTGGGTGGAAGGTTTCTCTATATAGAAAGCTTAAGTCTCTTATCATTAATTCACATGCTCAATGTAATTCCAATATAAGCTACAAACAAATTTTCTCAGAAACGTAATAATAAACCTACTTTAAAATACAGATGTAATAACAAAATCTATGACTAAGTTAAATAAAAATTTTGGGAGACATAGTTTTGCTGTATCACCCAGGCTGGAGTATAGTGGTGGCACAGTCACATCTCACTGCAGCCTTGGCCTCCTGGGCTAAAGTGATCCTCCCACTTCAGCCTCCTGAGTAGCTTGGACCACAGGCAACACCATCATATCCAGCTAATTTTTATTTTTATATTTTGTAGAGACAGAATCTAGTTTTATTGCCTAGGCTGGTCTCAAACTCCTGGCCTCAAGTGATCCACCCACCTTGGCCTCCCAAAGTGCTGAGATTATAGGTGTGAGCCACTGTGCCTGGCCTTAAATTAAAATACTAAAGGAATAATGAAAAGGGGGACTAACCCTATCACATGTAGACATAATTTAAAGCCATAGAAATTAAAGTAGTGATATTGGCAACAGATCAGGCATATGCACCATTGAAAGAGAGTAGAGAAATTATAGATAGATTTGTATATTAGGGCATTAAGTATAAGGTAATATGTATGATTCCCTGATTAATGAGGAAAACATGCAATATTTAGTAGAAAATACTCAAAGGGCTGGGCATAATGGCTCACACCTGTAATCCCAGCACTTTGGAAGGTCAAGGCAGGAGAATTGCTTGAGGTCAGTAGTTCAAGGCCAGCCTAGGCAAAAACTCCCTATAAAAATTTTTTTGAAAAACAGAACATGTACAATGTATGATGAAAAATAAAACTGGACTCCAAGCTAAAACAACAGAGGTGAATCCATTTGGAAGTGAATTAAAGACCAAATGTGAAAAGTAAAATTGTTACAGTAGTAGAAGAAAATATAGAGGACTATCTTTGTCCTTTATATCTTAGGACACTTAGAAGTGGGAAGGACTTGTTTAAACTTAGAAGTGGGGAGGACTTTTTTAAAACTTCTAAAGTTCCAAACCATACGGCAAAATACTAATCAATTGGATTACATAAAAATTAAGATTTCTGTTGTACACATTTCTGCTATGCATGAACCAAATGAACAGACAGCTGACAGGTTGGGAGAAGATATTTTTCAGTGTCTAAAGCCAATCTTTTCAATGTCTAAAAACAAGGAACTCTTGTAAATCAGCAAGAAAAAGACAGAAACACTAGTGAAAAATGGGTAAAGCTCATGAATAAGCAATTTAAAGAGAAGAAACCCCAAAGACTAATGAGCATACCTGGAGGCTCAGTTATATCTGAAAATGCAAATGAAAACAAGAATGAGATATCTCTTTACATCTCTTAGACTGACAAGTGGAGAACACTGCATACTGGTAAGTGTTGGGAAAATGGGGGACTACAGGATCTATTTTACCACACCATGCCAGTAGATTGACATGGCTGTTTTGAAGGGTATTCTGGCATTCCTTGGCCAGATTAAGTATATTCACACCCATGACCCAGCTGTTAACCCTGGGTGTATATCCCATGGAGATTCTCATACAGGTTCACAAAGGAACATGTATGAGGATGTTCATGAAGTCATTGTAGTGATGGGGAACTGGAGGTAATGTAGCTGCTCATTACTGGGGGAGTGAGTGAGTGGAATGTAGGACTCCACTTCATGGAGTATTCTACAGCAGTTAGAAGTAATAGACTAGATGTATATGCTGTAACATGAATATGTATTAAAAATATAATACTGAGTAAAAACAGGAAAACAGAGTAAGATCTCTCTATATAATGTATAAGTAGACAATTAAAACCCTTTGGGGCTGGGCACAGTGGCTCATGCCTATAATCCAAGCACTTTGGGAAACCAAGGAAAGTGGATTGCTTGAACCCAGGAGTTTGAGACCAGCCTGGGCAACATAGGGAGACCCCATCTCTACAAAAAATACAAAAATTAGTCATGCATGGTGGCAATGCCTGTAGTCCCAGCTACCAAGGAGGCTGAGGTGGGAGGATCACTTGAGCCCGGGAGGTCGAGGCTGAGTGAGCCATGATTGTGCCACTGCACTCTAACCTGGGGAACAGAGTGAGACCCTGTCTCAATTAAAAGAAAAGAAAAAGGAAAGAAAGAAAAAGAAAAAAATGGGGGGCTCAGATTTGTTTTTGGAATTCAAAATACTTGGAATTTAGAAAAGGAAGAGGTGGCATCGCATAATCAAGCACAATAGTTCTGCAGCAAAATGTAGGAATAGTTACATCGAGTGGCTAAAGAACCCCAAGTAACCCCTTGTTGCTTCAGTCAGATTTCGCTGTTAAATGAGTTAAGAGAAAACTTCTGGTGTCCAGAGCTGTGTAA